TAGGCTTTTTTCCCCACTTCCTCCCCTTCCTGGGGACTCTGGTAACTTCTACCAGGGACCTCCCTGCTTCTTAGAGACTCTCCTGCTCCCTGTGGTTCTCTCTACCCTGCCTTCACCAGGCTATTCCCAGAGAGCTGGCACTTCTATTGCTCCTCTGTCCTAGATTTCCCCTTTCTCTAGGTAGTCCTCCCTGACCCTTTCCCAGCTGGGGTCATTACTGGTAATTAAGCCACCAGATCAGGATCTGCTGGGGGGTAACTGCTAAGTAACAGGCAAGGCTGAGGCTGATTTTCCTTAAAGGGCCTGCTAGCCTTTGGCAGGCCATTATAGAGATGATGGGGCCGGTCTAGTTCTTTGTCCATTTGACTTGAGTCCCGCATCTCTACATACCCAGGAAACCGCCTCTCTGCTCCCATCTGGCTGTGCACCAGTCCCACAAGTTGTGGTAATTCCCCTCCTTCACCTGTTTATGTCTTGGTGACCCTTCTACTCCTGCTATGTGAACAGGAAGTCAGTAGATGGAGCCACAACACAACTTTCCAGGCCAGGAGAAAGACAGGGAATTGCAAGCATCTCTGGGGTGACCTGCAGGTACAGCAATCTGGGGGTGGCACCCTGATGACTGGCTGTGTGTGCATAGCAAGGATCCAAGACAGCGAGACCCTATGCAAGGGCACAGGTGTCGGGGTACCTCTGATTCACCAAACTGTGTTCCATCCAAGCATCTGTTGAGCTGGCAGCCAGTCCTGCATTCCTCTCTCTCCCAAATAGTTCAAAGATGCCTCTCCTGAAGGGTGTGTGAAGAATAGGTGGCATCCACATCCTGCTCTTCCCTGCTTCAGACACGCCACCCTCAGATAATGCTCATCTTTGGGGGCAGGGACCTGCTCAGACAGGGATTTCCTAGCACCCAAGTATGTGTTCCTGAAAACTACAGAGCCAGAACAGCTTGCTGCGGGCCCACAGCTCCTCCAGTGCTGGCTTCCAGTTTGTTCACTGGAGGGAGCCTGATTTCCTCCTCCTACTGTGAGAATGTTAATGCCACCATTGATTGTGCTCCCCACCCACAGATGCAGGTCCTGATCCTGCAGGGCCTTACAGACACAAGCGGCCCTGCTGATATCAATGGGCCCTCATCCATGTACTTGTGCGAGTGAGGCTTTGCAGCATCCGGCCCTTCATGGAAGTGCTCCTTTCACCACTGCACCTGACAAACTGAGGAGCAGGGGCAGTACATTCACCAAATTAGCCTAAGATAGCTTCAGAAGTGGACCTCAAGTCCCTAGTGTCCTTGGGCCTTCGGGTCCACTTGCCCTGAGTCCTGAGGACCCTGGGCCCATATGCAGAGTACAACTCTCTGCTCTAATACTCTTGCAAAGCTCATACATTCAACACAATAGGTTATACATAAAACAAAACCCGGTTATCAGAGAAGGGAAGAACCGCCAATGAAGAAATCAGCCAGAGTCCCTGCAGTTCCATCTCATGGTCCATGCACTGTCACGAATTATGGAGTGACACAGAACTGTAATGTCATTGTCTAGCCAGGAGTTCTTTACTATCCTGCAGTGAGAGGGAGCATGGTCTGAAACAAAGCCAGAAAAAACAAACAGAGGTGGGATAAATCCATCATATTTTGCACTTATACCAATATAAGGCCTTTCATCTAAGGATGTCAAAGTGCTACCGGTATTTATGCTGCAGGAAGTAACCATCTTCACAGTAAACACTGCAAATCCAGTGACTATCGCGCTGGCTGGAGTCACAACGTGGGCCCAGAATTAGGCCCGTTGTGTGCTCAATAACAACTGACCCATCCCTATAGCGACTGACCGATCCTGGTCAGACTTTCTGGCAGACAGCATCCCCACCTCTAACCCCACTCTCTTCTGGGATGGGCAAGTGCTACCAAGCCCTGTCTCCTCCAAAACTATGCATCAAAGTTCAGCTAGCACCTTCTGCTGCTCACAGGGCACTGATGCTTCCTGGGCAAAATCATTCAGTCTCCAAGATTCTGGTGCCCATCCCAGGAGGAAAAAGGAAGATCAGTGTGTACGGAAACTGGTATCATAGCCTGTCTGTGATGGGGAGTTAGATGACCATGAAACCAATGCTCCTCTAGCATCTCACAGCAGGGCTGGAGCAAACGAGGGAACAACACTAATTAACAGGAGGGTGCAAAAGAGCCCCCAGCATCAAGCCTCAAGCAGAATGTTAGTTACATCACATGGCAAGGGTGTGAGTAACAGAAGTTAGACCTGGGAGGTTAACTGAGATTTAACAATAGGTGAGAGGAGAAGATAGCAAACAGTGCAGCAGCCCCAGCAGGAACTCCTCCACTGGAGAAGAGAGCTGTGGTACAAGAATTAGGCTCACAGGAAGCAGAAAAAATGCAGAGTCAAAGAGAAGAGTATGGGAGGAAAGCCAGTTAAAGGACAGAGAAGGAAAGTATAAAGAAGTGTCAAAAGGGCAATTAGAAAGGAAAATTACTGCTACCCACTGAGCAGCTACATGTGCTAATGTAACCCATGTGCCTAATAGGGAGATATCTCCTTAAGAGACCCACTGTGGGGAGGTAGGAGTGAGCTGTGTCTGGGTCACTGTTGCTAGGCAGATTAAGCACTCCACATCCAGAAGCTTCTGGAATTGAGTGGGGACGGTAGTGTTGGGTCTGCTCCAATAGGTTCCCTGTTGCTGGGGTCAGACTCTGTGAGGGGGAGCAGTCAGCGCAGCTGCTGTACAAAGGGCCAACACGTGCCCTGTGTGAGTTGGGAGAAGCTGAGCCAGGAGCAGGAAGCAGGCTGTTGGCCCTAACTCTGAAGCACTTTGCAGCAGGTTAGGGATATTGTTACCCTCCAATGGGGAAGCCTGGGCAGTGCTAATTATAGCCAGGGGAAATTGGGAGGGAAAAAGAACTTCTATTTTAAATGTACACTTTGAATGTTGTTTTGATTTTAGCCAAACGGTTCTAGTTAAATTGTCTCAACTAGTGCGGTTCACCAACTTTTCTTTAAATGTAGTAATGAGGAAAGAGTCATTTCTATTTTACTATTCTCAGTTTTGTATTTTCTTGTAACGGTTTTGTTTAAATCTAAACACTTAAGTGAGTGGTTGGTTAATCAGTCAGCTGACCAGCTAGCAGTGATTTCAGCAGAGGAAGAGTCTGCGCGGATTCCAGCTGAAGGTTCCTACAAGCCAGGGGAGGGAAGATGTTGTTTTAGATTCAGCAGATTGATAGGTTTGGTGATCAAAGACTCTAACTGAGATTTAGGTGAACAAAACCTAAGTGGGAACTTCCAGTTTCTTCTCACTGTGTTTCTGTGGGGACTGAACTGTTCAGATTTTAATTTGTTTTCTTTGTTTATGTTTATGTATAACTGAAGGTAATGTCTATGGATTATAAAATAGGAATGTTATGCTGTAAAAATTAGATTATTTGTTTCTTTACCATAAGATTTGATAAAGTTATTTAATTAAATTCATTTCTTTAGTTCCTTTGCGGAGTTGAATGTGGGGAGGTTAACCCTGTGCAATCCTTGCTGAAAATCCTTAGAGCCTGAACTCTGGGTCTCCAGCTACTTTTCTATGGGAGTTGGGGTTTTTTAGGCACTGGAGAAGGGCAATGAAGTGAACTATAGCCCACCCAAAGGTTACACTAACTTTGTGTAAACTAGGTGCAGTGAGACTGTTAAGAGTGGGCTAGTGGCAGCCCAGAAGAGTGGGGCAGAGTAGATGGACAAATACTAATTTTTAGGAAGTTAGAGGGGGTTGATTGGTTCAGCTTTTAATTCAAATGTTTAATGCAAACTCTTAATTCTAAATCTGAGTTAACTGTTCAATCAGAAGATACATCCAGTTGCTCCTGAGTCTTTGTCTATACTAGCACTTTTGTCGGTAAAACTTTTTCTCCCTGACCGACATAAGTTTTGCCAACAAAAGTGCCGGTGCGCACAGCACTGTATTGGCGGGAGATGCTCCCCTGCTGACCTAGCTGCCGCCATTCATTGGGGTGGTTTAATTATGCCAATGGAAGAGCTCTCTCCCACCGGTGTAGAGCGGCTCCACGGGACACCGTACAGTGGCGCAGCTGCAGCGGTACAGCTGTGCTGCTATAAGGGCTGTAATGTAGACACAGCTTGAGAGACTTGATCTGCCTCTTCAAAGTAGTCCAGAAAGAGGGAGCAACCTGGGAGTAGGGGATCGGAATTGCTTGATTTAATAGACGGAGGGGCAGATTCATGGTTACGTGCCTGAGCCTGGTTCAGACATTCATTTACTGCCAGCAGGCTCTACAATGCATTAAGCCTCACAGCACCCCAGAGAAGTGAAGAATACTTGTGAAATCATGAGCTACAGAAGAGAAGTACATGTTTCTATCGGGACCGGAAGTATGGTCTTCTAGTTATGGCACTGGGCGGGGACTCTGGAGATTTGGGTTTAGATCTTGGCTCTGCCACACACTCACTGGGTGACCTTGACCAAGTCATGTAATTTCTCCGTGCCTCAGTTCCTCATCTAGACAATAGGGTTAATAATGCATTCTTCCACTGAGTCTGAGTTGTCTACTTAGATTGCAAGCTCTTTGAGGCAGACACAGGTATATGTACAGCACCCAATACAGTAGGGTCCCAATCTCAGTTGGGGCCTCTACGTGCTTCTATAATAATAATGTTACTAACAAGATCAGAGTCCCCAGCAATCTCATGGGACTCTCTGGCCATTGTTTGTGATGTAATAGCCCCAATGAGCTCAGCGACTCAGGAAGGATCCCTGGACTCCTTCATAAGTCACCCTATTATTTCTTATGCTGTCCCAGTATGGGACCCATTGAGCATGATGCCTAGGGACCTTTTCCCACTGCTGCTTCAGTGGCATGGCATTCATTTCCCCATGAGCTCATCATAGATTTTTGCTCTCACCAGATTGTTAGGTCTGGAAGTTCTTCCTTTGATACTGGTGGATTTGTGCATGTTTTTAAATGTTTCCTTCTTTCCCTGTAGGTCGGCTGCATTGGTTGGGCCTCACTTATGTTGCACCAGTGATGGCTTGCTACTCCGAGCAGAAGCAGAGGAGTGAATGAATTGGGGCATGAGCACAGGGGGGCCACACCCTGTATCCGGCAGCCATGCTCCTCCGAGGACTGCGGCTCTATGGGAAGTGGTGCCGTTTTTCCAGTCCCATTACTCAGCTCCTTACCTTAACTGTGGTGACATTTGGCGTGTTGGCTCCCTTGATTTGCCACCGGCTCCTCCACTCCTATTTTTACTTACGCCACTGGCATCTGAACCCCATGAGCCAGGAGTTCCTGAAGCAGAACCAGGAGGATGGCCAGACTGCCCTCCGTTACTTTGAGGACCTGCGGACTCCTAACTCCTCGGAGATCTCAGGCGACAAGGCCCTCAGACCATGGCTGCTCATCACCATCATCACCGTGCAGAGGCGGAATGAGTTCCACTACGTCCTGCAGGTGGCTTCCCGCTTCCACCGCCTCCTCCAGCAGTGTGGCCCTCACTGCCGGAGCCACCAGGTCTTTCTCTGTAACGTAGAGCAGGACCCGGGCAGCCACCAGGATGCCAGGCTGTTGGGTAACTTCTTTGCAATGGTCAGCCGCTACAAAAACTGGGAGGACCCCGATGCCGCAGTGAACCAGTTTGAGAAGGAGAAGCGGGACTACGCCTTCTGCCTGGAGCAGTCGCTCTTGGCCTACAGTCCAGAGTACGTCCTTCTGGTGGAAGACGATGCTGTTCCCGAAGAGGAGATATTCCCTGTCCTGCAGCACCTGCTGCTGGCACGGCTCTCAAAGCCACACCTTAAAGATGCCCTCTACCTGAAGTTGTACCATCCCGAGCGACTTCAGCGCTATATCAACCCGGAGCCCATGAGGATCCTGGAGTGGCTCGGCCTGGGCATGTTTCTGGGCCCCCTGCTGAGCTTTCTGTACTCCTGGGTGTCTGGCCGCCCAAGCCTTACCTGGCCCATTGTCCTGTTCTTTGCCTTGTACAGCATGGCACTAGCAGAGCTGGTGGGTCGCCACTACCTGCTGGAGCTGCGCCGGCTGGCCCCTGTGCTCTACAACGTGGTGCCGGTCACCGAGTGCTGCACGCCCGCCATGCTGTTCTCCGCCCCTTCCGCCCGCCGTGTCTTGGGTTACCTTCAGGAGCTGCACTGCCGTCGGGGCTTTGCCAAGGACACTGCACTCTACTCCCTGTTGCGCACCAAGGGTGAGAGGGCCTACGTGGTGGAGCCCAATCTGGTCAGGCACGTGGGGATGTTTTCCAGCCTCAGGCCAAATGACAGCCCTAAGCTACTGTGACCCACCGAGAAATGCCTTTATGGAAAGACTGGGAGCCAAGGGAGCCTTGTCCTTGGACAGACCTATCAGGTGTGACTCCAGATGTCATGCCACTTGCAACTGTGCTCAGAACTACCAGCGCCACCTAGTGGAGGGAAAGGAACTTTTAAAAAAAAGTTTACTTAAACCTATAGCTACATTTATTTTATAATGAAGAAGTGAAAGGAGGGTGGAGGTTTTCAGGGAAGGGGAAGGTTTGCTACTATCCTTAGTCATTTTGGGGGGGAGACCCCAATATATACACACACACACACAGGCCATTTGCACGTGAATGTGCCTCCTACAGCAGTATCCAACACAACCAGTCTCTGGTATCACAGACCCGAGACAGTTTGGCTGTATCAGCTGATGTTTGAGATCTCCTTTGTCTTTTTAGCTGCCCCATGCACCTCCCCCACCCCTCATCCTTCCTCACCTACAATGGCCCTGTCTCAATTCCCTCCATGCTAGTCAATGCCACTCCTGTGGTCACATATGTCCTAGTCTCAAGGTCCTGGAAATGCTAGCCAGGGTGAGTGCATCAGGCACAAGCTGACCTAGGAGGAAATATGGAGCTGGAGAATAGCCCTTGTTTCCCCCAACCTTCTCCATATCTTACCCCGATGATCTGTTCATCTCCTCAAATAAAAACATGAAGAGACCTTTACAAGAGGCACGATGCATATAATGAGCTCCTTACCCCACATTCTGCACATGGTTCTGCGAACATGTTTCATGCTGCTTCAGCACCTCCAGATCTTCTCCTTTGTGGGTGTCATAGAAATTCCTGTCCGTTCCAGCTGAAGAATAAGGAGAGGCGGACACAGTTAATCAAGCAAGGAGCCCCAGGAGGGGCGATCCGTTTATTTCAATTGCAATTGGGTTCGAGCTCATAAGTCAGCAAGAACAAAGAAAACACTTACACCAAAGCATTATATGCAGTTGACTATGATAATCTATCGCTCTATGATTGGCCAAAATTTGCTATCATTACCATACATAATTAGCAAGCTACATATATCTGCCCTCCTTGTGACCCCTTATTGTTCATCTACTTGCCGCCCCCCCCCCCCTTGCGTTATTTTGCAAACCAAGCAGTTAGTTATCTACAGGACGCAGGCACAGAAAATTCCATTGTCTCCAGGTTTGGAGTTTGGCTACATTTCCTCTCAAAGGAACTTCCTGAGTTAAGACTATGCATAGCTGTGCTATATATCTCCCATGTGTATGTGACAAATTTGCCCCCTGGCAGTTAAGTAGAATACTTTTATTTCATGGGTAACATGCCTCTTCCCCCAAAGCTCTCTTTTCACCTTGGAGCAGAGGATCTGAAACATAAAGTCCATGTTCTTCCCCATTGCTTCAGCTGGGGTCCCCTATGGAGCCAAGAACACTAAAACCAAACAACCTCCCGCTCGCTGTATGTGGCTTGGATTCACTGGCCCATGCACATACTCACACACACCCACACAGCCTCACATCAGAACAATCTTTGAGATTGCACATACAGCTACCTCTCATAGGTGAGGAAGAGCAGATTCCCCATTTAGGCCCTGATCCTGTATCACCGGGAGCTCACTCATTAGCTTTGAGTGTAAGCCCTTAAAACTGGCCCTAGACGGGTTGCCACCCATCCTGATTTTCCATGGATTCCACCTGCAGCATGGAGAAGCTCCAGTTTGCCTTGGGCAGCCCAATGAATGATCCAGCATGATCATGTTATTTACGGGAAAGGTGAAGGAACAGTTGCAGCAGCATGATGTCACAGTGCACTTATCTTGCCTCAGCCTGCAGTTAGATATAGCTGACAGCTGCAGAAGACACAGTTCACTGCTCCTATCATGAATAGCTGGGCATGGTCAGATGAGCAAGTTTCAGTAATGT